CCCCCCTCCCCACCCCCCTGTGAGGCCGAGCCTGGAACGAGCTGGAGCAGGCGGCGACGCGGTGTGCCGCGGCACCGCATGCGCAGGCGAGCCCGTCACACCCGTGCGCCTCCCTGTCTATCTTAGGGGTGTGGCTCTGGGGTTGCGTGCGTCCTATTGTTGGAAAAAAAGAATGTCCGCACTGCGCCTGTCAACCAAGCGCACTGCGTGCGTTAGCGCGAGGCCGAGCAGGGGGTGGGGAGGGGGGTCGTGACCCCTCCCTCCCTACCCCCCTACGAGGCCGATCCTGGAACGAGCTGGAGTAGGCGGCGACGCGGCGTGCTGCGGCGCCGCATGCGCAGGCGAGTCCGTCACACCCGTGTGCACTCGTGCACTGCTTAGGAAGAAAACTTTGTACTGCATTTGTCAAGGATCTGTACTGCTTAGCAAGAAAACTTTGTACTGCATTTGTCAAGGATCTGTACTGCTTAGCAAGATAACTTTGTATTGCATTTTTCAGGGTTCTGTAGGGTGTGCACTGCTTTGTTGCCTGTATGTGCACTACATTCGTCATAGTCTTGTGCTCGTCATGGGACTTTAGCATGTACCACACTTCATGCACACATATAGTGAACTTCCTTGGAAGACTTTGGAGAAGTTCACACATTTGTAGATACCTATTATGGGACTGGCTGGGGCCTGGTTGTAACTGGGTTGCCAATTTTTTTCCTTATCTGAAGCATTTTTTTCTTTTGGAGTATATATTTTTCATGGTGGTACAAATGATGTCATTTGTACTACTTGCACCAACGTTGAGTACTGCACTATGCATACCAAGTTTGTATTTTGTGCACTAAGCAAAAGTTGCTGCAGCCCCTTCGTTCTGCATTTGTGCACGTACTGCACCTCATATTTACAGTCTGTGAACTGCCTTATATTTGTTATTTGAACTGTATTTATGTTTCTTTTATAAATATTAATATTAATGTTATTTTTCTATAATTACTTTTGTTGATACTTTGTTCAGTGAAAGCAATTGATCAGAAACAAACTGTGATACATAAGCAAACAACAGAAATAAAATTTAATGACAATTCTAAAATGACATTGATTTTAGAAAAGAAATGTTCGATGTGAAGCAATGGACATAATGAAAAGCTTGCATACATGAAACAAAGAACAACACAACGACTAATGTAAAGTGAAACTAAAACATAGCCCTGAATTATTTCTAGTTGCTGCATTTGATTACAACATTGTTCTTCTTCTGCTTTTCTTCTTTGTCTCCTTTTCCCCTGTCCAGTCCCATGATGACATTGTAGATGATTCTGCATGACTCATATGTTGCGAATGCATCTATTGCTGCATACTTGATAAGCTTTTCTGGCAGTGGGCAGAATCCCCATAGAGTATGGTCCTCCTTGCGGTTAATTTTTTTCTTCATGTCATGGTAGTGAATGTCTATCATCCTGCCGGCAACATCAGCCAAAGAGTCAAACTTCTTTTTATTGTATGGGTCTCTCCATTCCACCTGAATATCAATGTAGTTGTCGGAGTTTATCTCCAAACCAGATAGCTTCAGCTTGCCTTTGTCTCCTTTAATGGCGAATCCGACGAAGGTGTACTCACCATTCATTAGGAATTTGTCTAGTTCCATTGGCCTGGAAGATGTTTGTATAGAGTGAATATAGTTTATTTTCTTAGGAGTACCAATGTTTTTTGTTTTTTCTGAAACTGAACTGTAATATGAGTATCTGAATCTGTTGCGTTGAGTAGTTGCTAATACTTTGTTCATCATAACTAGTAAACCTGATAATATATTGCATAAACAATGCATGTTTTGTGCATGATTGTATTTCTTGAACTGGACTTCATACATGTTTTGTATAGTAATGTTGCAGTTTTCTATTGTTCAGTCAAATATTTTGTATTTGGTAAAACAAAATAAAACTGTGTGTATTGCTAGATCATATAATTCAAGAATCGAGCACATGAGTGACATACATGGAGCCAGATGAAAACTGCCAATGAATTCAGATGCCATGGTTTTCAAAAATTTAAACCAAAGTTTAAATAATGGTGATTGCAGTGAAGAAAATTTAAAATCAATATTGACAATCAATAGTACAGATTGATAGTTATATTCTGACCTGTCTTTAGCTGCAGAGATGTGGTAGACAAGGCATTCTTTTTCTACACATAGCTGGAGCACTACTGCCCGTTGTGGCTTCACGTAGTGCGTGTACTCGACATCAACACCGACTAGTTTGACAGGCATTCCGCCGAGCTTCCTCCTGAGCATGGACAACATCTTGTCCATGTCTTCACCCTTGCTTGTGCAAACGACGTGGAGCATTTGGTTGCCATGGAGATCGACGTCGTGGAGCTCCTTGGTGTACCTGCGGCACTACTTGTAAAGAGGTGCATCTGCCATGACTCTCCTCTGCTCTCTCGTGTTTGTTCTGGAGAGAATAGGTTGGTGAAACGAATTGTGGAGAAGAAGATGCAATGGGGTTTTTTGGGGTACAAAGCAGTTGCGTTTTCTCCTCTGCTCTCCTTGACAGGACGTGGGAGAGGTGGAGCGGGGTGGTAGCCTGGCGGGGCTCTGTTTTAAGTTACGTGGCAACTACAGAGAGGTCCTGCTATGAGGATGCTCTGTTAGTGCGTTGGAAATCCGGAACATCGTGTCCTCTTTTTTTGTGACTTGTTTAGGTATGCACGCAACTGTCAGAAAATGTGATGATTGTGTTTTCAGTGAACTTTCCTATTAAGTGCACTTCTTTTTATATCAGAACATAACTGCGTACATCCACATAGTGTATTGCATGGAAATGAAATTTATTCTTCGTGCGCTGAATTATGTCGGATTAGGATTGATACAGATGTACGCACATTTTTTGATGGAGTTCTTTCATGCAGTTCTTTATTTTATAATGCACTGCTTTGCTTAACTAACATAGCTGCATTTTTCATTTAAGCCACACTACAACGCAGTAGAAGGAGAACTGTATGTTAGAAAAAAATACTTAGTGGAGAACTGCATTGTTTGTCGTGGCGGACTGCATTTTGTACCTTTACTACTGGCTTTCTACGTTCTATTTTATTAATAATGAACTGTAGTTTCTGGCTGTGCGCACGCACAGTTTTCTTTTGCTGTTGTTATTCATTTAAAAATTGTTTTCTAATTTGCTTAGATGTTTTATTTTTTGAAGTTATTGTTTTTTCTTAGCGGGCCTTGTTGGCCTGTGTTCGTGGGGTGAAACCATTGGGCCCAAGACGGTCTGTGAGCACGGCTGGTTTCCGGTGCAATGTGTGCAGCCTAATGTTTAGTCCCACCTGCCCGCGGAAGGCGCGCCCGACCTGTTTATAAGCACTGATGAGGCTGATATTTCGAACTCCTCTGGTTACTTATTTGAGCGCTTATACACGATGCTCGCTGCTCTATGCTCTCTGACCTGTGGGCCCATGTGCGCCCGGCCCTACGCATCATGGCTCAGAACGACTCGCCTTCTATTCGCGCAGACCTACTACGAGACTGGCTGGGGCCGGCTACACCTGGGTTGTCAAATTTAGTTTCAATTTTTTTTCAATGTGAGGGCGCGCACTGCTTAGGAAACCGTCCTTGCACTGCATTGATCAGTGTTCTGTACTGCATGTGCAAGCATTCCTTACTACATGTACATTTTCTCATTTTTTTGTTTTCTTGTTTTTGCTCTTTTGTAATATTTTTTTCCAGTCTAGGGGAGTGCACTACTTAGTAAACATACCTGTACTTCATTTGATTCTGTTCCTGTACTGCACGTTCGTATATTTCCGCACTACATTTTTTTCAATGTAGAGGCGCGCACTGCTTTGTAAACCATGTTTGCACTTCACTGATCAACGTTCTGTACTTCATGTGCACTCAGTCAGTATTACATGCACAGTTCTCATTTTTTGTTTTCGTGTTTTTGCTCTTACGTTATTTTTTTCCAATGTGGGAGGAGTGCAATGCTTAGTAAATTATTCTTGTACTGCATTGATTTCGTTTGTGTGATGCACGTTCATATTTTTCAGCACTACATATGCAGATTGCATTTTTCTTTTTTGTGTTTTTTCTCTTATCTATTTGTTTTTCCAAATTTTAGGGGCGTGCACTATTTTGTTGGGTATGTGTAAACTTCATTTTGACAAAGTCTGTATCGCATTGGTACACAACTTGCACTGCATGTGTCCTATTTGCACACTGCTCGAATCTAATGATACATGAGCAAACAACAGAAAACAAATTGTCACAGGCATTCTGTACGATAAGTTCATCATTAGCGAACTAATTTCAATAGAAAGCAATCTATCATAATCAAATTTCACATCATTACAAGCGATTCTGCATGGGAAGTAAACTAAGTTCAACAAAAGCAAATGAGCACAAGCAAACTAACGATACATAAGCAAACAACATAAAGCAAATTTGATGACAATTCTAAAACGACTATGGCCTTGGTGGATCTTTGGCCGGCACCATCTTCTTCTTCACCAGTCAGCGTCTCCCCATCCCCAGCTGGTCCTGGCGCGCTTCTTGGGTGGCTCCTCCTTCTCCAGCTTTGCACGGCGAAGCCCGTCCTAGGTGAGGGTGTTGCGGTTCCATATCTCGTACGCTGCGTAGGCGTCCTTTACAACGTACTCGATGTGCCTCCTGGACAGAGGCAGGGTGGCCCAACGCTTGTGCTCGTCGTCGGTGATCTTCTTCTTCATGTTGTTATAGTAGTCGTCGATGAGCATGCTGGAGACATCTCCAAGGGAGTCCAACTCCTTGGTTACCTCGGGCACCCTCTACTCCTTCTGGATGTCGACGAAGTTGGCGACCTCCAGATTGACGTGATCCAGCCTTTTTTTGTTGCCGTCGATGGAGAAGCCTGCAAAGGTGTAACTGGGGTCGGCGAGGAAGTTGTCGAAGACGATGCACTTTTCAGGGTGCTCAGTTGGAAGAGCAGCACCGGGTGTTTCTTGCCGATGGAGAGTTGGCAGAGGGTGGGTTTCTGTGTCGCTTCAGGCTCGTTGTTGTACTCGAGATCAATGCCGACGATCTTGTGGCGCCGGAGACTGAGGTGGCGCTCGTACTGCGTGAGGGTGATCGCCACCTGCTTCTTGTCATTGGTGTGGATGACGTGCAACTTGGTGTTGCTGTTTGCCTCCACGGCCTCCACGTCCTTGTACTCGTTGGCGAACGCCATCGCTGATAGTGGGGCTTGGTGTTTTTGCGTGGAAATGGATGTGACGGAGTGATTTGGTGGTAGCGTGATCGGGTACTTGTGTTGTTTGTGGATGAGATGGCCTATGGCAGGGGTCTGAATTTAAGAGGAGGCGCGGTGTGGGATGGCCGCAGCAGATGAACTGCACGATCTCGGCGACGATGCGGTTTGTGTAAATCGTGGGTTAGTGTTGCGTCTGTGATCGTGGGCTTGTGACGATGGAACCGCTCCGATTGGGCGGTTGTATGCGAACGTGGTTTTTTATCAGTAGATTTGTTTTTAACCACCACTTTTCTGTGCGAACGGGCTTTTTTGTGACGTTTATATGTATCCTGCGTGACAACGAAACTGCATTTGTTGTAGTACCGCACTGGATCATGTGCAACGGAGAAGTGCATGGTGTCTACAGGTGCGTACTTCATAGTATTTTTTGCGTGTCCTTGCTGGAGCCCCTGAATAAAGTATAATGTATTCCGCATTTTTATTAGTTTTTCACTGTGTTCTATACCGTGTTTTCATTCATGTAGGTAATCCGCAACTGGATTTTCTCAACCGAACTGCTTCGTGTACCTAAAAGGACTGCATCCTTGTAGTGCTGCGTACTGCATCAATTTTTTGCCTGTACTTACTGCAGTCCCTGTACGGGAGGGGTAAGGGGGGGTGGGCCCCCCACATTTTTTTCAAGTTATTGTTTTTTCTTTATGGGCCTTATTGGGCTGTGTTCGGGAAGTGAAGACGCATTTGGACCCAAGTCAAGTCGGCCTGGTAGCACGGCCGTTTCCCTGTATGCTGTGTGCGGCGTAATGTTTAGTCCCACCTCGCCCGCGGAAGGCGCGCCCGACCTGTTTATAAGCGCTGACGCGACAGCTGTATCGAACTCCTTTGGTTACTTATTTGAGCGCTTATACATGACACTATATGCTATATGCTCTATGACCTATGGGCCCAAGTGCGCCTGGCCCCACGCAACGTGGCTCAGAAAGACTCGCCTGCTGTGGGCGCAGACCTACTACGAGACTGGCTGGGGCCGGCTCATTTGGGTGGTCAATTTTTTTTCGATGTAAGGGTGCGCACTTCTTAGCAAATCATGCGTGCACTGCATTGATCAGTGTTCTTGACTGCATGTGTACGCATTCCGTATTGCATATGTTTTTATGCTACATTTTTTGTGCACTGGATTGGTAAGGGTGTGCACTTCTTTGTTGCCTCTATGCACTGCTTTCTTCATGGTCTTGTGCTTGAGGTGTACACATTTTTTCACTGCGTGCATGCTTCTTTTGTGCTGAAGTTGTGACTCGTTTTGCCAATGTTGCGGACTTCATGGCTTACAGATAAGGACTGCATCAGGTGCACTAATTCTGCTTTTGTGCACTCCGCGAAAGTGCTTTTCTTTTGTGCTTCATTTTGAGCATGTACTACACTTCATGCACACATATAGTGAACTTCCTGTAAGACTTTGAAGAACTGCACACATAAAATGGTCTGTGGATTATAATTTTTCAGAGAATTATTATTTAATGATATGCGGTTAGTTCGTGGGAATTTGTGCAGTCAAAGTCTTTGTAGAACTTCCTGGTAAGACTTTTTTTGTTTTGGTAACATAAACCTTTATTGATTGTCCTTCATTCTTGGTAACGTAATTTTCAGTAACTCCTCTTTAATTTTCAGTTTTGACCTTTTTGCATTCCTCTCCTATAAATGTAGGCCAACTTCTACCCTTCTTTTGCAGTTCATTTCTCCTCTAGCCACAACTTCTCTCCTTTCTCTAGCCTCTCTTTATTTTTTACCTTTTATAGGTTTTTGTTGCATGGCTCCAGGCCCCTGCGCGAATCTCTCGTGCTATGGGCATGGTTATGGTGTGCCGACGCACTGCGATTGCTCAGCTTGCTCGCAGGCGCGTCGTGCTCGTCGTGGGGGGAAGGTATTGTGCCGAGCTGGGCGAGCTGAGCAGCTTGCATATGGCACAGTATTCACAGTAGGATTGGATATGGGCCACATCAACGTTTCTGCATTCCATTCCGCCCTGCTTCGCCGTGGTCTTGGCCGC